TTTTTTTTGAAATTATTCAATTTAAAATTTTTTTCAAATGAATTTTTTAAATTTTCATAAAAACTTTCTATGAAAAATCTAAATTTTTGTTCAGAAATGATCGAAATACGTTTTTCCGCTTATGCTGGAGTGTTGACCTGATAAAACTTCTTTCGAGTATTTTTCCTCTTCGAAAATGTATTAATAGCTTTCTCGAACCCAAAAACAATAGTAATAATTTAGCGAATTATATTTAAACTATTAATCTAAAATATAATTTTCTTACATACATTCATTTTCCTCCGGGCTGGGTACAGACTGAGTATTATTTTTGTGAAATAAAAATTTCAGTACTCTCACGCGTGGCTTATGTTTGACGATCAGATGACAAATTTTTATTGCTCTGTGATTTAGAGGAGATTATACTTTCTAATGTTCAGTGTCTTTGAAGTGTCATTGCTTATAATTTGAAATGTCGTCTGATTTTATTCATATATATGTGCAATATATAGTACTATGCTCGTACATGTAGGCATACAGTTATGACAATTAAAATTATTATGATGACGACGACTGCTATTTTATTATAAACTTGCGGTGCTTTTAATTCGCCTTGTATTTTAGTAATTAATATACATTCAACCACCAACTTTTAATGATTTAATCAAAAACGAAAGGAAACAAAAAATTTAATTGCATTGCATTTTCAGGTAGAAAATGAATATATAATATACCAATTTAAAATAATTTTAAATTAAAAAAGGGTGTTTTACTTTTCCGAAGGGGAAGATGACCAACTTAATTTAGAGATTTGATTCTCCTATGAATATATGCCCGCCTTTAAAACGATAAAATATATATCTAAATTTAATACTTATAAAATGCTTAGTTAATAAATATTATTTTTCGAGTATTAGTTAATTCGGAAATTTTTATTTTTTTATTTTTTGCCCAAATAAGAAATAACTTCAGATTTGAAAAGATTACGCAAGTGATAAACTTGGTTAAACCTCTTCTAAATGGATGATTTTTTTTAATGGAGAGCTGTTTTTATAATTTCTTTTTTTTTTTTTGAGAGTGTTGAAAGTCTTCTTACACTCAATGAACCGAGAAAAGTGAAGTCGAGAAAAAAATGGTAATACTTCAATTCTTCTTGATTTATTTGTTGAAAAATGAAACCAACGATTTCTTTCTATTTTAACCTTTCCAAAAAATTCAGAGCAAAAACGATTAGTGAATAAAATTTCGAAGACAAACTACCTTATGGAAGTTTGTTATCATGGAGCATATGATGGGAAACCTTTACTGAACGTTGATATCTGCAACGGATGCACGTGTTTGTTCTCGAAATTTCAATGTGAAAGATGCACACTTGGAATACAAAAACCAAGGCAAAGCGAAATTTTGATCTCGAACTATTGTTTTTAATTTCTACTATTGTAAACTATCGAAATTGAACTGAGGTTAAGTAACACGGTCCGGCTGATATGTTATACAACAACAACAGGGCTACTTGGTTCTCTGTAGGATCAGATTGACTGTTCCGGCTCAGTCCAATTTTCATTAACTTTTGCGTTTCCCGTAATGCCCTTGTATTGCAGTTGCTTTACCTTTTACCTTGCTTCTTTGAACTTTTTTCAACATAATCGCTGTGATAATTAGACGCTTAATTAATTAATTGACGCTTAGATTCTAATTCTATTGTCTGTGGATTAGTTAGTTCCACAGCTTTGCCCTTTGTGAAACTTATTAACCTCCCCACTCTTGCCAGTCGGAGGAAAATTTTTGGTGTAATTGGCATAAATAATACAGGCTCAATTTCTATTGCTCTTCTTCTTTCTCGAACCAAATTGAATGTTCTGTTCAGAACGTCCAAACACTCTCATTCTAGCAAAAATTCTATACCTGACTTAATGGTTATTAAGAAAAACAATTTTAACGGCTCTATATTAATTATTAATAGCTTTCTATATATACTTGAATTCAGTTCAAATTCAGTCATCGGTTGAAAGTTTGATCGGTCGCTGCGGCCGAGCGGTTAGCATTGCATACTTCTATTCGGAGGATGAGGTAAAATCCTGGTATCTTACTAACATTCAAAGAGTTATAGCAAATTAATTTTAATTTTCTAACTGCAGGGAATGTCAACCCCTCCGAGTGTATTTCTGACATGAAATAAAGTTCTTCATAAAAAACCATCAACCATTCGTTGGGGGCTTAGTATAAACTGTAGGTCCCTCCATTTGTTGGAGAAACTCTTAGACGCAAAACCACGAATTGGAGGAGGAGCTATGAGGAAAATCGCTTCAGCAGCAATTAAAAAAACTTAATTTAATACAACACTCAATAAACATTTTTTTTTAGTAAAATATAAGTATATCATTTAACCAAATATAGCTTACACTACAATGAATTCAATGGTCATATGACCATTCCCCATGTGGACGATAACTAATCAGCGCAGCGTGAACTCACGCAGGGGTAAACTACTCTCCTCGAAGCAATGAGGTTTTAAGTATTGTGTCAATATGAAATAAAGATTCTGAACATAAAAATTAAAGAGAATTGAAATCAACATGAACATAAAATAGAAACGAAAGAAAAAATAGTTTTATACTAATAAACCAAAATTTAAAAAGCTACCCTTGTACCGATTTCCAAGTAAATCGAGCCACAAATACAATTTTTGAAATGACTGGTCGCTGGATCACTTCGCGGACCAAATTTCAAGTAAATCGAACCATAAATACGGGTATTATTTTGCTATAAACCTTCTTGTGAATCAGAGGATCAAACTGACACATTTTCAGTATAATAGGAAACAAACATAAAAAGATATTTTTCTTTTTATTATTCAAGTTGACCTCATTCAACTTTAACTCTTCCTGAGTTTTACCTGTGTTAAGATGGATAAATAGGAATATGACCTATATTGTGTAGGAGTCCGATCACCATTCCTCAACTATTTATATTTATATACGTATGTAAATATATGTGCCCATGATTTTGAAAGTGATATAAGTCATATTTTTTTTGTTTCGAGATATTTAGAGTTTTGTATTTTAAAGGATTAAAAAATATTCTTGCATTATGGATTATGATTTTTCGACATTAAAGTAGTCCCAACAAACAAGTACTTATTATGATTGTGAAATTTATTGCCATTTTTGAAAGAAAATGTGGTTTTGAAAGGTTTAAATGACTTGGACCACTTTCAAAATTAACTTCATGACTTTATAAATGACTTATACCAAAAATGAAACAATTTTATTAGTAATTAACGTTTTATTCAAACTCATTTCATTGTGACAACGTAAATTATTCATTAGTATTTAGAGAAATAAAGTGTTTGTGAAAAATTGGTGGAATATAGGGTAGTAGATCCATCATATCTTTACGTTTTTCTTTTGTTATTGGTCTATTGGTTGTGTATAATGGAAGTAAATCAATATTTCCGTATATTCTAGGTCTTCATTTTTTAGGTGAGAGGTCTAATACTTTGAATTCGGAGTTGTCATCCAAGGAAGTTTTATAAAACATCTTATATAAGGCATTTTTTTTAGAAATCTGATCCATTGTATTTTTAACCAAGGCACAGCTTCTCCATTGATGTTTTTCTTTCTATTATTCGTTGATTCTTTCAGTTCTAATGGCTCTCACATGCTGGAAAACTCTGAATATGATCTCGTACTACTTTAAGTTTTTCTTCATCTGTTTTTCTAGATGAACTAGCCATTTTGCCACGACCATCCATTCCAGGTGTTTCAGAATTTAAAGCACGGCTTTATCTTCCGTTAGATATTTTGAAAATATCCAAAAAAAAATGTTTTGCAAACAGAAACTTCCGAACTTATACTTACATATAGATGAAACTTAAGACTCCATTTTCTCATATATCCTTTGTGATTTCTGGGGCGTTTTTGTTTTATTAACTGTTTTGTAATCAAACTACACATAAAAAGATTCTGTTTTTCGGAATTTGCTAATTTCCAAAAATAATCAAAATTATCTTTCCTGTCTTCGTATCCGATTCCATTTAAACACTTTTTGGAACAAAGACAATCTTTATTTTCGAAAAGTTTAGCACTCACGTGCTTAGAGTTTTTTGTTTCATATTCCTCTCCACTATTTCTCTTCATTTTTCTTATATTTTGTGCATAATTCTGTGGATTGCGTGTCCTCTTTCTTGATTTCATTTTGCGCTCTTCCATTTGTATGGGTTCTGCATCTGATTCATCAGAAGACGATATCATTCTTATTCGTTTCCTTTTCTTGGGAGCATTATTTCCATTTATTCGCCGTAAAATGTCTACAATTAACTTTAAATAGTAGGTTTTTACATTAAAAGTTTTACTTCATCCTACCTGAACCACTATCTGAAGACATAATAAAATTACTTTGTGAACACACTGACTTATACCACTATCAAAACCAACAATATCTGTATTTCAGTTAACAACTATAAAAATAAACGCATTTTAATGACTTAATTTGAATGGCATGCTGCTACTTTCTTCAGATTATATTACTTTAATAAGATTTGACATGTTAAAGCTGATAAAGTAGATTTTTAAAATTTTTGACTTATACCACTTTCAAAATCATGGGCACATATATATTAGCAATTACTTGGGTATGTACTAGTATGTCAAATGAAAACAGATTTAAATAAGTAACTATATCAGATTATGTGCAATTAAAATTACAAAAAGCAATACATTTTATTTTTAATACCATATGGGTAAGTTAGTGTGTGTGTGTGTGTGTATTTTAATCGATATTCATTGATTGACGTACTTTGTTACAACTGAACACTCAAAAGTTCAATCGTACTTTGCAATCAATTATAAATACAAGTACATATAGTTATGTAAATAAATATGTATGTATATACGAAGAATATTATATTTGTAAAATTATCTATATTCGAAAAATGAGTAAAAATACACATGTATGTATATATATTATATTATTTTATATCAGCGATTTAATACAATAATTATAATTTTTCTTTATTTCAGTTCCGAAGTTGGTGTAGCTCACAAGAAACTGTCGCATAAACGAATATAGAGTACATAAGCTTAAGTAGGAAATAAAGGAAATGTTATCGGCAAGAGAGCAGTTTTTCACATCTTCCACAGTACCAACTTCAGCACTGGGTATGGGCATTGAAGTTGTGGATCAACGGTCAGGATCAGTCTACAGTCCAACAACAGTGCCATTGACCAGTGTGCATGGCTGGCGCAATGGTGGTAGTGTTTTTGCTACAGCACCACCAGCAAACACAGATTCCCAAGTGACAGAAGTGGACAAAGAACATCATCCGACAAAGTCAGAACCGTTACCACTGGTCGCTAAAATTAACGGCTGTAATGGGAATGTGGAAAAGGGTTGTGATGAACCCTTCTCCAATTTGCCTTCACGTGTTCCTGTCGATATAGAGTTTAAGGAACTTTCACTTACTGTACATATGGGATTCGGCAAAGGTAACTTATATTCCAATAATATACTGACATTTGCATGTTTATACAAAATGGTTGGTTGAAAGGATAAGGCTGAGTATTTGACGGCGAGCTTTGCTTAGTACAAGTAAAAGTTTGGACTGTCTGCAATCCAATAGCGTTCCTCTATGTTCCATGAAAACATTTGAAGACGCCGAGGGGCCTGAGGTGGTCTATGGCTTAAGTTTCGCCAGTGGAACCAACGCGAGTCGGCCCTTTTTCGTCTTCTTATTTAACGAGAATATTGGACGTGAATTTACAACTGTCCCCTCATACAGCTTGCCATAGTCTTTGTATTTATTATACCTTTCATAAGTACGTATGTAACTTGAAAGGATTTCTATAACGCCAGCAAACGCGAAAAGGACAACACATTGAACGAGCGAATAGATAGAAGCCGAAGTAGAAAAATATTAACAAATTTCATATTCAAATTCATTCCGGTTTTTCAGACAAATAAAAATTACAATTTTCTGCAGAAAAAGAAAAAAAATATGAGCAAATTGAAGATTCAATTCAATTCAAATTGTTTCTTATGTCGGCGAAATGCCAAAAATTTTATATATGTACATTGACAAGCTGAAGAAGATACTTGATACCTGAGAAGATACTATGCAAATTTCACTTTTACTTATCTATACATATGCATTATACATCAACACATATATACATATGTATATTTTATTATTATTGTCAATATAATATATTATAGCTTTTGCACTACCATACACTGTTAGCAATGAAGAAATGTTTAAGTGAGAGTGGGAGCCCGCTTCAAGTACCGATGACTAAAGACTGAAGTTCACCATATTTAAATTTAATAACACCTCTTTGTCGGTAAATTATAATTTTTTACTGTCGCACTTTTATGCAGTCCTTTGACGAATGTTTCGCTTCCGAATCGTCGGTCATTTACCAAAAGAAACTAAAAATCGAGACCGTTTTTGTACTTAACACTACTTGCTTATCTAATCAGAAATTCTTCATAAATTATCTTATGGTTATACCAATCCATTGTAAAATAATCAACTGCATATTTCAGCCGAGCTATAAAGATATCGGCATTGCATATTTACCCAGTATATACATACAAATGGTTATACAATTATTTTCTTTATAGCCTATGCAATATGTTTATGTTCAATCTACACAGTATATTTTTTTATGAAGAACAATCCCAAATTTTCCTTTTGAAATGTTCATATTTTACTTCTAACTTTATTTTTCCTATCGGCCGCAATACCCTAACCACTCGGGTACTCCCATCCTGAAAACCAAGGTTCGAGTCCTGCTTCAGCCAACATCCCAAATTATAGAAATTAATTTTTTCAAATTGGATGAAGGGTTTTTATGCCGACGGGAAAATTTATTTGTATTTCAAAAGTTATTAGTTTTCTATAATTTTATATACATATTAGACGACGTTATTGTCGTACTGCACCCAACTAATCACTCGACTACTACGCACCAGAAAAATATTTCAGCTTAGAATTATCTTTAATTTTTTCTCAAAGTACATTTGAAAATATAAATGATCGGAACTGAAATTTAGTTTAAAAGATAAATTTAGCATGAGTTTTATTAACAACCTCCCTGTAACTTTAGCCGACAATGTATTAACTCAGTTTCTTCGATTCTGTTTGAATTAAAGCAAAGCAAGAGTTTTAACTCGCTTCCGGAAGCTTAAGATTGCAACTTTTGTGTCGCAATGATTTGCTGGACATTTGGTCGTCACTTAATAACATTTCAAAATCTATGTCTTCAGCAATCCCAGCTTAATTTCTCAATGTACCAGTGGCTTTACTATTATTTGAATCATTGATATCATTAAATTTAATTTAACAAAATTATATTTAGGTACTTACTTTGTAAGTGTATCATTCATTTTAAAGTATTTGTATGCCGAGTATAGCAAGCGATGTGTAATTCATGGTATGGTTTATTACAAACTAAAGAAATGCTTATGCTAATATTACTTGGAAATTCAACACTACAGAAAATGAGAGTTACACTCAAGGAAATATATTGTATGATATTTGAAGATTTCTTCTTAATGTAATATACTTCTCCGAAATCAAAGTTTAGAATAAAAAATTACATAGTTAAAAATATTTGTTCGTCATTTGTCAATTCTTTGACAAACATTTCGTGTTTAATTCTTTGTAAGTTTTTTCTTAACAAATCAGCAAACATATTGTTTATACAAATACATCTTAAATCTATTTTATTTGCTTTGTACATTTCGCTTGCTCCTGTAATGATATGTTGGATTTCGAACGAGGTAATACGTGCCTTGATTGTCTCAATTAATTATCATGGGCAGGATTATTTCGAAACCCATTTCAAACAAAAGCTTTCTTAGATACTCGGCTTCCTTTGCCGTAGATAATCCTACATACTCGGCTGCCATAAAAGTACACCCAGTGAACGATTTTCTTTCGGTAGTATCCCCGGCCCAATCGGCATCGCTGAAACCTTCGATTGGTTCACCAGACTTTGCGAAATGCAACTTGTATCAATGCTGCTTCATGTTCAAAATGAGGATTCACGTTGCGCTGAGATAGCTTTGTTGCCGAATGTAGTATGCCCGGTCTTGTTGATAATTTTTAATACATGAGTGCACCTATTAACGATTGGTAATCGACAGCATCGACTCTTTTACAAGAATCGCTCCTCGATTCGAAAATTTAGCGGTAGGAGCGTGACAGCTGGCCTGCGGTTTTCCATGTTATACTGCTTTAACAAATCTGCAATGTATTTACGTTGGCATAAAGTAACAACGCCTGCAGCTCCTGTACTTTTCGTTCCCACTCGTAAAAATGTATCAAATGTCCACCGTCTACCACATCGAAATGCTCAGAAATACGCTCTTTAATATCGTCTAGTTCTTGTCCGGAAGAGCATGCAAACAATATATCATAAACGTATAAGGCTATTACGTTATACGTTTTATCTCCATGTTAAATATATACGCATGGTTCGGTTTCAGCTGGTTTAAATCCTATTGAATGAAGTACACCATCAGGTCGTTTATTCGACTCACTTCCGCTATGTTTTAATTTATATAGCGCTTTGTGAAGTTTTAGCACAAGATGTGGGTACTCTTCATTGATAAAGTCGTTCAAATATGCGGGACACGACCATTTGGTCCAGATACAGTTCGTATTCAACCGCTCATGCAATAATTATTCTAATCGTGGCATAACGAACCATTGAAGAAAATGTTTCGTTGAAATTTACCCCTTGTACCTGACTATACCCCTTGCCACCAGCCGGGACTTAAATTTTACAATATCGCCGTCTTTGTTTCGCTTCATATTAAAGACCGATTGCTCTGTGGCCTTTTTGAAAGGGAAACCATAGACCATGTTCTATTTGTAATTAACGAATTATACTCCTCCTTCATGAATGCTTTCCATTGCTTAGCACTTCACCATTTAAGGCTTCTTTCACCGTTTCAGCTGAAATATCATATTGATGCACACTTCATCTCCCGAATCATCACTTGTTGTGCCTTTATCTGACTTTACACGACTATCATCAACTTGTGTTTCTGTATTTTGCCTTAGTTGCACGTCTATGATGACGATAATTTTTTTGGATTTTCTGTCGACTAAACGATGTGCTTTGGATGGTTCTGAATAGCAAATGAAGATCATCTTTTCCCCTTCGCTCGAATTTTGACTTCTTAAGCCTGAAGAGAGTGTGATATATTGCTAAAGACCTGTACTTCAAATAACCCTACAAGAAGGGTATAAGGGTGTCAAGCCATAACTTCTTGGAAGCCAATCAATGTCACCATTTCTTGAAATAATCGAATCTCCAAACCTTTCCCGCAATAATTCGGTTGTTGCACATGCTGTGTGACACGTAGCCCGTCATCTGACATGTTAAAATGTCATGACATATTAAAAATGTCAAAACGACGCTTAGAAATTATATCATTCTTACACGTATGAGAAAACCCTATATTTGTCGAACACTTGATTTATGTATTCACATCCATTATCTGTTCAAAAAATTTTAACTTTACTCTCAGTTTCGGGCTCGACAATAGCTTTAAAGATTTAAATACATCAAAAAAAACAGCTTTACTTTTCAGTACACGTATGTACATGTATATACACGTATTAGACTTGTGGTATATGAACGCCACAAATAATGATAGCCCGAAAACGTCTTTTTGTTAGGACCGCAAACATCACTATGAATTATTTCTAATAATTTGTTCGTCGGTCGGACGACGCAAAAGGTCTGTTACATATTTAACTCAACACAAATTTTACATTGATTAATGTTGTTCACATTGCGATCACTAGCCATCTTTTCAAAATCTGCAATATGTATGTGTCCCAACCGATTATGCCATCGCATTATATTAGTTCTGTTCATTGACTAGATGGGCGTACAAATTTTTACTGATATCATAATCGTCGATCGAAAAACCCAGGAAAATTAGTAACGAGAGAACGCAATTTTGACTTAAGTTAGGAGAGAAATTTGCAAATTCGGGCTGGGAAAAAATAAGTTGAACCTGATTTACTTTTCGTGTCAGGCCTGACCTTCATGCCTATACATTTTTCAGTCAATTAACGCCTGAAAGTATAGAGGATTCAAACACAACTCAAGAAAATTGCGGCTAAATTAGCGCACTTAATAGTTATTGGTTAATAATGAATCGCAGTGGTACAACACTCGCCTGTTAAGTCAGAATCCGTTGGTTAGATCCCTGCCATAAGAAGTCTAATGCTTATATCGAAAATATTAATTCTTTAATATGAATAAAACGCTAACACAATAAGTGCCCAATTGTAATTATGTTAGAGTAATTTTAAAGATTTAAACGATTTGGAAATGGAGTGGAATCATCACCCGCACACCACCCAGCTTATGATGGGAATTTAGAAGTTAGAAATGTTGGAGGCATAGAATTACAATGAATTTTTGTTTTTTGTACAACGCAAATTTATTTTGGATTCCTCAAATTTACCAAAAAGCAGTGACGGCCAATGGAGCCGCAAAACAAATTTGAAGCATTGATGCATTGACACAAAATAAAGCAGTGACGGCCAATGGAGCCGCAAAACAAATTCGAAGCATTGATGCATTGGCACAAAATAAAATATTAGTGACGTTTGAAAGGGAAAATAAAGCTCTTAATAGAATCTAAGAAACTCTAAATAATGTTCAGTTAATTTTGTCGGCTAACTCGTAAAAATAGTTTCAAACTAATTTTCGTACTTCAATCATCCTTCTTGTAAATCTAAAATTTAAGCGGCAAATTATTGCAAAGCAAACAATGAAGTTAGAAAAATCACATTGGTATCTTTATTGTTCAATGAATGAATTCAAAATTAATTCTTCGGTGGAAACTCAGTAAATTTCTTTCTTAGGGAGATTTATGCATCTTACTCTCTTAATTTCTTTTCTGGCCAGTTTTTACTGACATTTCTCAACGAACACAGCTATTACCTTCTTATTGTTTGCAAAATTACATATGTTCTCATTACAAAATTTATAATCGCAAGTCTTTCGTATATTTTCTTCTCTGTTTTGTTCATTTGACTTCTTTGCCATGTTACTGTTGCTGCAATTTACATCCAGTTTTCTGATCTTCTTTCATATTTTTCGGTTCATTATACCTTCAATGTACTTAAGGCAGAATTCGCGCGCCGACATTGAAATACAATTCTGTCAAACTAGACAACAAATTAATGGACAGGATTTTGTCCATTAAACTGGTGTCGACTTGAGTAAGTCATTCTCTTATATGAGTAAATTCATTAATATGGCTAGACAGACTAGCTTCTTAAACAAAGTAACTTTTCGAGCTGGCGCTCTACATTGGTATCTTTTAGGCTATTCCAAGCTTTAAAAGACAAACTGCAGTGTTTAACATAGTTTTGATGTGACTCACGTAGACACTAAATTATTGTTGCGAGTGCTTTTTTATCTCCTTATCTTAGGCGTCATATGCAGTTATTGACGCTTCAGATGCCTTATAGAACTACCGACCAAAGCTTATTATGGATAAGTACGCTCTTCATCTGGACAGACCAAGGTAAAAAATTTTTTTCATTTAATTTTTCTATCGCGTAAAGACCCGGGGCACTCAATTTTAAAGATTTAAAATTCGGGCTAGCAAGTTATAAATAGAGTTTGAATTTTTTCCTAATTCTCAAGCGGAATATATACGTTGTTCTTTTCTTCCAATTTACTATTTGCGCAACGCACTAATTAACTCCAGCCAGAGCCAACTTTGATGCCAAAACTGGGCCCATGAGCATGGTTTATTACAAGCAGAAGAAATTCATTAAGCTTACATTGCATATAAATTCAATACTGTAGAAAATGAGAGTTACACTCAGAGAAATATGTTGTATTGTATTTGAACAGCATTAATATTAACGTTTTAGAAAAAATCACGTGGTTTTAAACCATTTTTTATACTTTGTATCGTATACATATATTTTTTCGTGTCTGATTTTGATTTCTTAATTCGAAATTTTGAGTTTCGGGATTTTGTTATAAACGCAAAAATTTTAACAATATTTAATTGATTTCTTTGAAAATTTCAGGAGGTTAACTCTTTGCAATTTTGAAAATTAGTAGGATTAATACAAAGTAGTAATTAATCTATGTATATTTTTTTTCCTTAACCGTTCGGCTTTATCCAATAGTTTTACTATTGTGATCTTTTATCATAGGCGGCGATGATTTCAATGTTTAAGGAGCATATACAATAGATACCCTATCAAATATTCGTCAGTTTAATACCGTATGAATCCCGAAACCATATTTAAGACTTGAAGATATTTCACACTTGGTGCATACACCATGACTGAGGTTAGTTTTACGAGTGGTGGAAATGAGTAATTTCAAGTTTCCTATTGTATTAGGTTATTAAGTTTTATCAAATAACGGCTTTTAGGGTTCTCAATAGATTTGCTCATAAGTAATTTGGCTCAGATTCTTTGCATTAAAAACATTTTGGAAGTTGATCTGGTCATAAATATAATACTTCTAAGAATTAAGTCTAATTTTGTAATATTATATGCAATATATTAAGCATTTATTAAAAAAATGTGGATATGCAAATATACATTGTATATAATGTATATAATGTAGTGACGGATTAACTTTTTTCTTTAGGAGAGAAAGAGATCTTACATAATGTTTGTGGCAAGTTCCCCGGTAGTCAACTGATTGCGATAATGGGTCCTTCGGGAGCGGGTAAATCAACACTACTTGATGCATTATCCGGTTTCAAAACAACGGGCGTAGATGGCTCCATACTTCTCAACGGCCGTCGTCGGGACTTGCGTAAGATAAAATATAAAAGAATGAATACATTTTCATAAACAATGCATATTTCAATCTTCTTTTTTTTTTTTTTTTTTTTGCAGCATCATTTAGACGAATGTCATGTTATATAACGCAAGATGATCGCTTGCAACCGCTATTAACGGTAAATGAAAATATGCACATTGCGGCGGATTTGAAATTAGGAACAAATGTGAGCTATGAGGAAAAGGAAGGCAGGGTCAGTAAAATCCGTTAATTATACATAAGCATGTATATATATATATATATATATATATATATATATATATATATATATGTATGTATACATCACAACTTATATTGTACTTTCTTAAAGATCGAAGATATTTTGTTGCTGCTCGGCTTATACGAACACGATCAAACGATGACAATGCGACTCTCAGGTGGACAAAAAAAGAGACTCTCCATTGCTATGGAATTAATAAATAATCCAACAGTGATGTTCCTCGATGAACCTACCACGTAATAATGATTTTGGAATGTAATTCATATAAATATTCACTACACACATTTTTATCCTATTATATATGTGTATAGTGGTCTAGATAGCAGCTCCTGTACTAAAGTGTTAGAGTTATGTAAGAAATTGGCACAACAAGGCCGAACAATTATTTGTACGATTCATCAACCGACCGCCAAACTGTTCCAAATTTTCGATCAAGTTTACGTGCTCTCGGCTGGTAACTGTGTATATCAGGGAAGTACAGAGAGGTTAGTGCCATTCCTGCAGACGGTCGACTTGCCATGTCCCGTGTACCACAATCCTGCTGATTACAGTGAGTATATATAATTTTGAATAATATACAATACATATAATGTATGTATATGTTAGTAAACAAAAATACTAAAACTAAACTTTGGTTAGTTAGTGTTCAGTTCAGAGGATATCCCGTCCCTATTTTTATCCGCCTTACCTTAAACCATAACGTTCTATGTTTTTCTCGATAGTTTCTTAATTGTTTCTTTAAATATTTTTGTACCTTTGGACTTTAAGTAGACACATTTCATCTCCTTAATGGTTGCCTACAAGAAACTTCATTGTTAAAATGACCGCAATATTAGCGTTTTTGCTAGTTCTTACGAAAAATTAAAACGAGAATGTTATAGTTGTAGATAATATTACCCCTTAAGGATGATTGGTTAAATTGGTAACTTTTAAATATATCTTCGAGAATGGGCAGGATTCAAAACTTTGCATACTTAGGTTAGGTTGAACTGGCTGACCCAGTGAGTCTCACTTAGATAATTTGAAAAACATTACTCTTATTTTTCTTATTTTGAGGTAGTCGTTTTGACCCTTTGCCCATTGCCAATTAAAGGTCCTGCAGCACAGCCTTTGCCTACCGAAAGCACACTATGTCCACACATTTTACAAAAATGCATACTTACATTGTCATTGTCACTCAGCGAGTAGGTTTTTCAAGGTCATCAACAACTAAATAATGTCCCTTGAGCGCTACATGTGATTTCGTTTATAAATTTATCAATTCATCCTCCTTTGCTTAACATACGCCTTGGATACACTAGGATAGAAAGTTCTGGTTGATGCAAGGCAATTGATGATATTAATGCAGTGGTGATTGCTCTATCTATTCTCGTTCATACAGTATAAATTTCAAGCGATATCGATCGACTTATCCCCAAGGGACTTATTATCCTTCGAGTGGAATGTGATGATTGAATAATCATAAATCTTTTTCAAGGTTAAAGATTATTAGACTTACTGGCCAATATGATTTCGATAAAATGCATTATTGTTTACCAAATTCGGAATAAAAATCAGCACGCACTTTTGTCCTCCGTCCGAGGCGTACTTCAGGCGAATAGAAGCAGTTAATTCGAGACTGTCTTAATGTGTCCTATCAACATATTGAAGGCAGTATACAAAGTTCGGGTAATTTAATAACGATTAAAGTCCCATATTTTCTAAATGTTAGATATTGAAAATTCTTATACATATATATATTTGAAGTAATTAATTTTTCTAATTGCGGGCGACTCACGGCAGGGAATGGAAAACCCTTCGAATTGTGGTGCTTGGCCGAAAATTATACATATGTATATAAATATAAAGCACATATTCGAGTATACACATGTTGACGCTGATAATATATTTTAATTTCAGTTATTGAGTTAGCTTGCGGTGAATATGGAAAGGACAAAGTGGACATTCTCAAATCAGCAGCGGAGAACGGTGGTAGTTTAGCGTGGTTTGAAAATTCTAACTCTATTCTACGAGCTGAGGCCCTAATGCGCAAATATCCAATTCCAAAGAAAACGCAAAAACGTTCATTAGAGGACACGAGCTACCTCAACCAGTTATCTGTTCTAATACATCGAGGATATGTAAAGGCTAAACGGGACACAACTTTAACACATTTACGTATAGCTGTAAATGTTTTTGTCGCCATCATTCTCGGATCATTATATACCGGTTCTGGACGTGAGGGCTCAAGAGTCTTAGATAATTATAATTTACTATTTGCCATATTAATTCATCATTCTATGACCACGATGATGTTGACTGTTTTAACATGTAAGTATTAAGAGTAGAAATGCTCGACAAACGTAACGATATCATTTCGTTTCGCTAACAAAAAAGTAACTAAACAAAATGAAATGAATCGTTTCATTTCGTTTCGGCGCCATGTTATTAAAACCAAATTAATTCATTAACACTGAATCCGTAAAAACTCATCGTTGACGTTTATTTTAAATTTGATGCTTGCTATGATTTAACAGCCCACTTCCATTTTAACGTTTTACATTGTCTATTAACGATTTAACATTAACTTCATCTTTTCGTTTCGGGTAAAAACGAAAAGAAATTTATTGTGATAACTGCTTTAACGTTAATATTTCAAATTTTTTCAACCGCACCGATAGAAATTTATTAATGTAATTTAACGTTGCGATGCAGTCTTTATTTACATTTAAAGAATTCATAATGTGTGTGTTTGCACAAATAATTAAATAAAAATTTAATTTCAGTCCCGATAGAGATGTCTATTCTCCTGAAGGAACACTTTAATCGCTGGTATTCCCTGAAGGCTTACTACACGTCAATCACGTTGATCGACTTGCCAATATCGGTGGGTAACATAATTCTTCGAAAAATCTTAAATATATTAAATGATTTTATTTACGCTTTAGATCATTGGTTGTCTGCTCTTTACTGTCATTGTTTATTTGTGGAGTTATCAACCAATGGAGTGGACGCGCTTCTGGATGTTTTTTGCCATAAGTTTGCTAACTGTATTTGTCGGTCAAAGCTTTGGCCTGATGATTGGTGCTTGGTTTAGTGTTGTGGTAAGTATTTGATTAAATATTCGATAGCTTTCGCGCTTTAATTTTAATCAATATTTCATTTATTTTCCCAATAGAATGGTACTTTCTTAGCACCAGTACTCACTATTCCGATGATGATGTTTGCCGGCTTCGGTGTAACACTTCGTGATTTACCTAGTTATTTAAAATGGGGTAGTCATATTTCATATCTCCGTTATGGCTTAGAAGGCTTTGTTGGCGCCATTTATGGAGAGGGTCGCGGTGTTTTAGACTGCAATGAAGCACCTTATTGCCATTATAGGTGAATAGTTATTGCCAAAAATTTCTTAATTCTTTAAAATAAAAAAAAAATCTGTCTGATTTGTTTCAGATATCCACAAAAATTCCTCGAAGAAATCACAATGCGTGGTGATCAGTTCTGGAACGATTTTATTGCACTCTGCGTTATTTCAATAGCTTTTAGAGTAGTAGCCTTTGTTGTGCTCAAAGCAAAAATACATTCAGTCAAATAATGTACCATTGCCAATTTTCTTTTTTCAATATATGTATGTTAATGTGTGTTTCTAATAGTAATTAATATTATAAGCTAGGCATATTGTATATACGAGTATGTATAAAACAAAAAATACGAAAATGAAACAGTTTTAATACGACTTACAAGTATTTTAATAAACTAGACAATTTAATAATTACTTTTGTGATTTTTATAGTCGACTATTGGTTACATTTGGAGCATTTACTTTGTTCAGCTATCAACTTAACCGATAGGTACACGTACGCACATATTATATAAAGGAGTTTTGGAAGATCGCAATAATTCAGTAATAACAACGCAATTGAAATCAGATATAACAACGCAATGATCGAAACTCACATGTATGTATGTACATATGTACAATATATACAATGTGTTAATTTAAATTCTTATGTGCCATACCTTTTGGATGCATAGCATAAACGACTTTGTATTTCATCTATTAATTATTTAGCGGTTATTTGATCAAAATATAAACATGTAATTTAAGATCCTTTTTTAATGAAGATCTTAATATGAGAACTAATACGGGTACCTAATTATCGACCCCACTCAACCTTGTCTTATTATTTTAATATATAATATATATTATATTATGTATTATATTTCATATATATACGTAATAAGTAAAAAAAAAAGTACGTAATTACAAAGTAATTAATTATCTATTGTGATACAGGATCAATACAATTACCAAATTTTGTTAATAATATTATAGAATATTAAAATTTTTCTTTTCTTGTTTAGATTGATCCATATATAACAAAATTAAAGCAAAGAGTTCATTATTTCTCAGCTCAAAATAACCCCAGCTAATAATAAGATTGTTTAAGATGAAAGCATTCTAAGCAGAAATCAATTTTTTGTAGAATGTGAAATATGAAATTTAAAGCTATAAAAGCTACTGTTAAAAACTTTTCATTATATAATTAAAAGAAATAAGATACTCAACTCAATTAAACAAAATGAAACGCAACCATTACTTTACTTACTTTATTTTACTGGCGTAGTCACCGCTTACGCGATTTTAGCCTATTTAACAACATTCGTTTCTTCTTTTTGCTGTTTGGCGCCAATTAGAAATACCAAGTCCAGCCAGGTCTTTCCAACGGAGTGGAGGTCTTCCTCTTCCCCTGATTCCACCGGAAGGAACTGCATCGAAAACTTTCCATTCCTTGTCAGCGAAGCCGCTGCTTCTTGATTCGCCGTTGCCAATGCCCAAAGATCCATAAATCCTACACAAAACCTTTCTCTCGAAAACTCCTAACGCCGACCCATCAGATGTTGTCATTGTCCATGCTTCCGCACCATATAGCAGAACGATGAGGGACTTGTAGAGTTTGGTTTTCGTTCGTCGGGAGAGGACTTTACTTTTCAATTGCCGCGAATGCGATGGCTATTTGTTTGATGACAGGAGATATTTCGTCCGCGTTCACTACCAGACCCATTCGCTTCGCTTCTTTGTCAAGCCCAAAGCACAACTAACGGCGGTTGTTGATGCCGATAATGTCAATATCATCAGCGTACGCCAGTAGTTGTACACTCTTTTAGAAGATTGTACCTTCTTATTCAGCTCTGTAGCTCTTATTATTCTCTTCAGCATCAAATTAAAGAAATCATTCGACAAAGAGTCACTCTCGAAGAGGTCTTTCGCAAGTCCGACTGCGCTTCTGTTGCTGTCTAGCGTCAGCTTAAACAGCCGTATAAGTTTTGCGGGGATACCAAATTCAGACATAGCGGCGTAAAAACAGTTCCTTTTCATGCGTCGAAAGCGGCTTTAAAATCGACGAAGAGGTGGTGGGTGTCGATCCTCTTTTCACAGGTCTTTTCCAAGATTTGACGAATGTTGAATATCTATTCAATGGCTGACTTACCAGGTCTGAAGCTTCACTGATAAGGTCCAATCAGTTTGTTGACCGCCATTTTTGATTAGGTCTGCCGGTAGGCCGTCAGTTTTCGCCGCTTTACTGTTTTTTAAGCGGCCGATTGTTATTCTAGCTTCTTCATGGTCATGTAATGGAACGTCTTTTCAATCATCATCGATTGGGGATCCGAGTTCACCATCTCCGGATTCTCCATTTTCACTACAATTCTGTACGTTGGAGAAGTGTTTCCTCCATAAATTCAGTATACTCTGGGCATGGGTGGCTAGATCACCTCGTTGTTTCCTACGAGAGTATGCTCCGGTCTTGAAACCTTCATTAAGTCGTCGTATCTTCTCATAGAATTTTCGAGCATTACCCTAGTCGGCCAGCCTCTCAAGCATTTTGTCTGCAGATACATCTTGCTTCCTTCTTCATCTCTCGGTGTCTATTCCATTCCGCACGTGTTGTGGTCAGTCCCAAGATTGCGAGGTAGGCAGTCTGTTTTCTCTTCACTGCGACACGGCAGCTGTACGTAGGGAGTTTGCGATGCCGTCTCACAGGTCCCGTATATCGAGTTTCTAGAGAGTGCTCTCAGAGAGCAGGAGTGCAAGTCGAGTTGAAAATCGTTCGGCAGTCTGTTGTGATTGCAACTTTTCAACGTCGAACTTTCTTTGTGTGTGTTGTCGGGCGTTATTCGATACTCAGAGGCACATGCGTATATTTGCTGCAACAAGATAATGATCCGAGTCGATGTTGTGTCCTCGAATTGTGCGCACGTCAAGAACACTGGAGACATGTCTTTCGTCTATCACAACATGATCTATCTGGTTGAACGTTTTTTGATCAAGGGACGGCCAAGTAGCTTGATGTATTTTTTTGTGCTGAAATCTAGTACTACAGACAACCATATTTCGGGCCCCGACGAAGTCAATCAACCTCAACCCATTAGAGGATGTTTCGTTGTGAAGGCTGAACTTTCCAACAGTCGATACCTTCTTTGCCCATCGCTCGTGACTGTACTCTATGCGCTCTTAAAAGGCATCTTTGGCCAAATCCTCCTTCTCTTCCGTCGGAGCGTGGGCGCAAATTAACGATATATTGAAAAATTTTGCTTTAATGCCAATTGTGGCTAGACGCTCATCCATCGGGGTGAATGCCAGTTTTCGACGACGGAGTCTCTCTCCCACCACAAATCCAACAACAAATTTAGGCTCCTTTATAAGGCCGTTTTAGTAAATGTCACAAGAACTTACTCGCTTTCGTCCTTGTCCCGTCCATCGCTCTTCTTGGACAGCGGTGATGTCAGCCTTCATTGTTACGAGGACATCAACCAGCTGGGCAGCGGCACCTTCCCAATTAAGGGACCGGACATTCCAGGCGTGCCATCAAATCGTGATCCTTAACTCGTTTGCGGGGGTCGTCGACAGAAAGGGGGTATCTTATCCCAAATTCAGCACACAACCTCGGTAGGCGGGTAAGATTAAAGTTTTTTACACATTTATATAGCGATCCACTTGCTTTAAGACCGACGCCCGCTTGCAGCCGCACCAGTGGTGAACAGACGCTGCAATTAGACTTCGGCAGACCCTTAAGCGGAATAAGTCGAAGTGGCCCCACTGAAGCTTCCTCTCTCATTAGCCGTAACCCAGGGCTCTACACGGGCTGGTTACCGCAACTTGCATAAGGGTTGCTCAGGTTTCCAAGGTGCGCGAATTGAGTATAGCCTCGCAAATGTAACAGCATACCCATAAGCTTGACTACACCCCATTACACCCCCTCTCTCTCTCTCTCTTACACCGCAATGTAATATACGAATTTTCAAGAATTTGGTTGTCCCCACAAAGAACTTCGAGACACATAATCGTCCCGTTTTTCTGGACCAACCAAGAATTTACAGGAATCAACATTAATAAAAATATTTTTAAAAAAGTCTTCGGCTTTATTTATTGAAATGAAAATGAAAAATTCTTGTGGCAATACTGCTATGATCTGTCGAATTCGCTGAGAAGGGTATATCGGGGTCGCAATCAGCGCCACCTAATTATCGTTTCAATGTGCAAAATGCTGGACAGCAAGCCATAGCTGTGTTCGTTGAGAAATGTCAGTAGAAATTAGCCAGGGACGAAATTGAAAGCGAAATACGTGTATGTTTTAATCTCCGAAATAAAAAAATTTACTGAACGTAAATCAACGAACAGGATCCAGTAAAAATTAGACAGCAAGTTATACAACAGCTGTTTATTTTGGCGGTTAGATATAAATTCGTTCATTTATACAATTTATTATTTCTGGTTTTAAGTATTTTCCTAATGGTTTTAATAAAATTGGCAATTATATGACATTTTTAGATATTTTTTAATAATTGTATTCAAAATTTATTGTATTCCAACAGTGATGAAATCCTATATGATTTATAGCCGTCCAACGGTAAAGATATCAATATGTTCTTTCCAATAGTTCCCTAATAGAACGACGATTGATGAACTTGTTTGCAACATTTTGTGGATTATATTTTAAGTAAGGATGGCTGAAATATGAAAATAAGTTTTAAATTCTTTTTCCGTGTAAGCCGGCCATATGAACTCAATATTATTATAGAGTTTATTCAATTCAGTTTAAATAAAAACTAAGCAAGAGCTTAATTTTTCCTTCTAACAGGCCTATTCTGTCGAGGTAACAACATTTACTTGGGTATTCAAATTTACCATTCAGTAAATCTTGTTACTATTTCGTATTTTAAGTTCACTGTCACCCTGTAAATTTTGTTACCAACGAAATAGGAGGTAATAAAAAAATCTGCTGTTTGATTTTGTGTTGTTAACTTGAGAAAAAATAAAAGCCAAAGTGGGTAGGCTTATTTTTGGCCTGGAATTAATTGAAGATTAAACAAATATTTAAAAAAATTTATGCCTACCCATTTTGGCTTTTATTTTTTCTCGAAATATTACAATGATTGTCGACTATGACCCACCTCTGCAACCCCGGCGGTGAGCATTCCTCAATATCCGGTAGTAGCACTGAATGATTGACTGTGTCAAAAGCTTTTGACAAATCCAGTGCTACCAGGACAGTTCGCGCGCAGGGTCGGTTTTGGTTAAGGCCATGGACTATCTGGGTGTTTATGGCTGGTTCTGGTGCTGTGCTTATTCCGTCAGAGCCGATAGTTTTGGAGGTTTTCGCCTTCCCGATGACACCTTGGACCTCTCCCCTGGAGAAATCAAGCGCCGCGCTGGTGTTTGGCAGTTTGCGCATACGGCGGGTTACACGTCGCTTCACTTTGTCTACCGAAGAATGTGATATAAAAGGTCGGCTAAAATAACTCGCGCATCGTCGGGTATGACAACGACTTGACTGTATCCCAGAGCTTGGTTGGACCAGAGGAGAGATTACAGGTTATTGAAAAGTTTGTTTCTATATATTTAAATAAAAATATGAATATCCTCAAATCGTCCAGAGGGAATATTAATCTTTTGAATTGGAGTTTTTATGTTCTTAGTAACTTTAGATTTTTGACAGTTAATGCAAGATGATGTTCAAAATATTAAGATTGAATAAGACGTCGAGTTGTTCGAACATTTGGATGTGATGAAGAATTAATTTTTTCAAAAATGTTTTTTCTCATTGAATTAGGAACATCTGGTCTGAAAGGTGTTTGTGTAACATCACACCAAATATTAAGATTTAGAAAAGGTATATTAATTTCTTTTAAATTACTATTAGCATTCGGATCTGAAATAATATTTTTAAGTATTTCATCTTTTTGTTGTTCTTCATAAAGGTATTGAAAATTAATGTCTTTTGTTGAAATTGAATTAATTTCTGGGATACGAGAAAGAGTATCAGCTATTTTGTTATCTTTACCACAAATATATTTAATATCATTAGTAAATTGAGCAATATATTCTAGATGTATAATTTGACAAAGAGATCGATCTGCTTAGAATTTGGAACATGTAAAAAATGAGAAAATGTTTAATTGAATTGTATATTGCTAAAAGTTCTCTATCGAATGTTGAATAATTAATTTCAGTTTGAGTTAATTTTCGCGAAAATATGCTAATGGTTCTAATGTGTTATCACTCTTTTGTTGTAAAACAGCTCCAATAGCAACATTTGAAGCATCTACTGCAATTGATAATTCACCGTTTTTGTCAAAATGTGTTAATAAAGTTTTATGGGCGAAAAGCTTTTTAACATATTCAAAAGCTTGTGTGGTTTTCTGTCCAATTTAATTCATTAAATTTACTTTTTATTGTAAATGTTAACATTTTATGCAAAGAACTTAATTCTGCTGCTCACATTTTAATAAATCTATAATAATAATTTACCATACCTAAAACTTTTTGTAATTTGGTAATCGACTGCGGTTTTTTAAATTCTAAAATTGTTTCAATGCGTTCTAAAGAAGGTCTGATACCTTTACTTGAAATTTCATAGCTGAGAAAATTTAATTTTTTTATTCCAAAAACACATTTAGCAGATTTAATATTTAAATTGTAATTTTCAAGTCCTTTAAATACTAATTTTAGATTATCAATATGCTGATCCCCATTATCACTAGCTACTAGCTAATATCATCGATGTAAACAAATACGAAATCTAATTCCGAAAATACTTCATTAATAAATCGTTTAAATCTTTGAGCACTGTTTCTAAGTCCGAAAGACATACGTACAAATTCAAACATTCCGAAAGGGGTTATTGTTGTTTTGTGTATATCTTCCTCAGCCATTGGAATTTGATGATATGCACGAACTAAATCAATTTTTGAAATATTGTTTTATCTTTTAAATCAATATTTAAATGGTGAATGTGAGGTAATGGATAACGATCTGGAATAGTTATAAAATTTAATCTTCTATCATCACCACACATGGTATCCAATCATTCCAATCATCAAAAATTTAATTTGTTAGATTTGTCGAAAATAAAAAGGGACGTATAAGTTTACTAATATATTCATTTTGATTATTATTATTCCTAAGTCTTGATGAATTCCTCGATCTTGATCTAATTTGTTATTCATTAATATCTGCTGCAATTTTGTTTAGAGTTTGATACATTCCAGTTGTTAAGTCAATTAAATTTTTAATGCATTGTTCTAAATTATTATTATTACTAAAAGGTGAAGTTATTAAAGAGACTTGAGATTTATTAATTAAATCGAAAATTTTATCAGCCAAAATAATAATGTCATCTTTATTCAAGTTAAATGAATTTTAATTTGTTGACGAATAGTTTACGAATCCATAATTTAAAAAGTAATTAGTGACTAACAAACGAAGCTGAACCAATTAAAGATTTCATATATGTAAAAAGCTCTGAAGGTGAACGATTACCAAGTTCAGTATTTGGAAATAATTGTTGCAATTTCTTTTCTTCACTAAGAGAAAAGTTCTAATAGTTTCGTCATTGGTGGGAGTCATGCTGCGAGGTGTTCTTTGAGACCGTAAAAGTCTGTTGGTTACCCAAAGTGGGTAAGGGTGCTGAAGTCACTGCCGTGGAGGCTGGAGGTGCGCTTGGGCGTTGGCAGCGTGGTGCCACATAACTCGTGGTCCAACCATTGCGCTGGTTGCACCTAACCGAGGTGGAGGAATGGTGGAGTCTTTTATGGTACACGCAGAAGTAATCCGTCGGACCAGGGATGGTTTCGACGCCAGCCCTGATAAGAAGGATTGGGAGCAGCCCAGCTGCAAGATGTTGCTCCGTTAACGAACTTATACTAGTGTTACCTGTTGACCTAAACGGGGTTAGGCCGCCGAAAGGGTGACAGCCCTTGGCGGATAAATTCCGGGTCAACTCCGGTGCGTAGAACCGTGTCTTGAGAGTTGAGTAAAGTTTGGTAAAGTGTTACTGACCATCTAGTCAACAAACAAAACTCATCAGAACTATTGTCACCGTACATTACTCCCTACAAATTTTAAAAATTGCGGAATTTCAGAGCAGATACAATGGAACACATAAATCGGAGCCCTTGTGGATATTATATGCTGCTTTAAAATCTTAATATGAGATATACCGCAAATGTATGGAGGCCGAATACCTGCAACAACACAGTGTTTGGTTTCTAGCTCAAGGAAAGATTACATTACATTTTCCAAAGTTGATATTCTGTTTTGCTATATTATTTAATATAAAGGTCAATACAATTTTTATATTATTATCACCATACTTAAACACACTTGCAAATCGGTCTTTTAAACTTTCATTGATCGAACTTCCGGCATATCACCGTCGCCAATATTCAAGGCCAAAATATCCAAACTTTTACTTTCATCTTTGTACTCTTTCGGAGATAGCTAAAAAAAAAAATTTCAAAACCAGTTTCAAGGTAACAACCAGAAATACTTACTGTTACTACCTTACACCCCAACGATGTTAATAAACGGATCTTCAGGCTCAGTACTCCCATAGGCGATTGACTAAATTGCAATATTTGTTCCTCAGGAAGAAGTTCTATAAACACTTTCATATTAGCCGGCTCCTTATAACTCACTAATATGCTCGGTATATTTATGCCATTGATGGGGCAAACTAATTTAGAAGAAATAACGCTTGGTTGCTCTTCAATTTTGTTTGCTATATCAACAAAATTAAATCGGTCTTTTAGTAAATAAGGAGGAGCGGGTGTTTCAATATTAATTTCCGGAGTTCCTTTTAGATTTTTAAATCGCCATGTTGGCTCTTCTATAGCAACTGCTGAGAGAAGCACTTGTAAGCGACTTTCTACTTTTGGGAGGTCTCGTAGATCTTTCTTATTATTTAATCTAGCATTTAACTTCAAGCTCACAGCTTCTTCAATAAGATCGTGGGATTTGTAGCCTAACATCCACAGCGAAAGGCAACTGTCAACTAACTGATCCCGAAAGTGTCGATATTCATTTTGTTCAATTTTATTAAATAGAACCATATCAATCGATTTCAAATCATTTTTTGATATACTACAGTTAAGTTGAGCGCAACACCATAAGAATGTAGCTATGTCTTTGCCCCGAATGTTCTCATTTTGTAAATCGCATTTTAAAGAGGCATTAATTCGATGCAAACATTGCTTTACTAAAGGTTGAATAGAACTTTTATCATCGTAAAGATTATCTGCAAAATAGGCGAATAAATGAATGCAACCTCGAATTTGCAGTCGATCCGCAATGTCTGGTGCGCAATACTTTTTAAGATGCTCACAAATTTCTTTTGAGCGTACTCGTTGAAAGCGCATAGCTTTGATTAAGGTGACTAGTAGCGCGTCGTTAGTGGAATCTTCTAATGAAAGCTTCAGTAATTCTTGCTTTAGCCGATTTTTAAATGTTTCACTTTCAACTCGGGTTGATGTTTTGAAAGTAGCACTTGCAACTGTTACCAGATCTAGAGTACTTAATTTGTCAAGATATGTTTCTAAATGGTCATTGAGGAAATTGTAAAAGATTTTATCGTTTTGTGTTTTATGATTCTTCTCCAATCCTAAATAGAAACAAATTTGCACAAACTTTTCTTTCGTCGTGTTCTCCGCATTTGCATTTGTCGCCAAATATCCCATTGCTCTTTCATAAAAGTCCATTCGCGTAATCCAATTAGGCATTAAATAGAGAAAAGCATACAATGTTCTTAAAATAGTATCGACATCCATTTTTGAAAAAAGTTTTATCGCAGTAGCATCTAGCTCATTCAGTACACTCGCAAATTTGTTGGGATCAGCGGAGGCCCGGTATGAAAATGCAAACACTATTAAAGCCGGCAACTGATGAGGAGATATTTTATTCAATTCCCTTTGTAGGTAGCGGGTATCCGTGATAGGAAAATAGTCAGCATACCTGATCACCGTAGGTACAACTGATGTATCCTTCTGCAATTCAAATGCGATATGTTTCGCAAAACGTGTAAGCAATGTCCCGGCTTCATCTGAAGTTTCTTGTAAAATATTCCGAGCTGTAAAAGAGGCTAGACTCCTTACAAAGGTCTGATACTGCGATACTTTATATCCTTTCACTATATGATTATTCCCTAAACATAGAAATTTGTTCAACATAATTGATACAGATTTTTTACTAAATAAGTTTATCCTGCTAAATAAGTTACTGTTTTATATAATTCAGCGAAAAATTCACTGTGCGAAAACATGTGTTGCGCAGGGCGACTCAGATGCATTATAAATAGGTATGTGACAATTATTTCATGTTGTAACGATTTTGCTTAAACACACCCCGATGATATCTTAAATCTTTGATATGTTTAATAATACAACAATTTCTTAGTTGTAAAGAATTAAAACAAAGTTAATTTATTACTCAATTAATCACAATTTGCTTTGCTATACAGGACGACTTAGGTTACCACTTCTACACTTTACTATTTTCACCTTACAACAATGTTGTCACCAACGAGTTCGCTTTGTAACTGTGATGTGCTAGTCTTTCACATACCTCACTAATTGCCCGTACGCGGCTCTGGAAATATAGTACTTACTCTGCAACTGAAATTATGAGTTGTCATAAGAAGTCCAGGTAAAATAAGGAGAGGAACTCAGAATCTTTTCAAGATGAAGATTTAATCTTGCTTTGCATTCCATTATGAAAGAAAGCTTTGTCTCCGAAACATCAATGCAATTGGGAAGGTCTACATAACGTAATCAAACGACTAAACGATGTAGTATATCATATCCATGCCGTTGGAAAGCGAAGAAACAATGTGAAATCTGTGCCAGTTTTGCTAATAACAGATTTATTTGTTCGTTGATGAGATGGGCAGTACCAATTTTAACCAAAATTTTCTGGATCGTGTTCGTTGAGCCAAAAACTCAGTAACAATTGGTAGCGAGAAAGTGAAATTTTGATATTTAGTTGGAGAGAAAGTGTGAAAAACTACTGATTTGTGACTATATGATTGAAATTTTTTAACAAAACAAATGAAATAATTTTATAATTTGTTTTTACGGCCATGCTATATAGTAATTTTTGATATAAATATTAAGTAAACTATGAGGCCTGGTTGTTTGTATGAATTGAATATTTATTATTATACAATATTGTTACGATTTTGC